GAGAGAGAGAGAGAGAGAGAGAGAGAGAGAGAGAGAGAGAGAGAGAGAGAGAGAGACACTAGTAATTCCAGGATGAAAGATCTTCCCTCCCCATCTAGGCGGGACTCGGGGCGGATCTATCCAGTACCGCGGTCGGTGGTACTCCTAGTACATCAACGCAGTTTTGGAGGGATTCAAGTGAGGCTGTTCCTCGTAATGAAAAAGGCAAGGCGGGTTTTTGAGTGGTTCGGAGCTACCAGCAATTCTACCACTAGCTAGCTGTGTGACCCTTAGCTAGACGCCTTTCCTCTCTGATTGATTCTCCCTTTTCAGCTCCGGCCAGGGAGCGTCTGTTTCCCAAGTCCCAGAGCAGAAGGGATTAAGTCAGCTAAAGTTTTCAAAACTTCTGACCAGAGGTCTGACACCAGGTTTCTCCCATCCGCTCCAACCCGTTCCCCCGTGGCCAGGGGCAAGAACCGAGAGAGGCGCTTAGTCAGCGGGCAGAGAGAAGGGAATTCGGGGGAGTCTTTCCCGTACCGCGGTGGGCCGAGCTGGGGTGGAGGACCTTGGTCCGGGCCCCTGGAGCCTCAGGGTCTGCCTGACATCTCTAGGCTTAAATAACCGTGCGCCTTTGTTATTCGTAGGCAGCAAAGTGGTTCGTTACGCCTGATTGGTCTAATTGCTTTGAAATGAGATATATTATCTATAATTATAGAGTCCTGGTAGGAGCCGGCAGGCCTCCGCTTTCATCTTCCCCAAGTGCGCCCTCAAGTCCCGATCGCATTAATTTGCGCCATTTGAAGAGGGAGCTCCCTCTTCCGCGGATCCTGGCCCCTCACCCCTCCCGAATTTAAAGACACAAGAAAGCGGGGCCGAGAAAGGGATCCAGAGCAAGTGGGGGATGGGCGGGAAGGGGCAAGAAGTCGCAGACTCTAGCTGCCAGCTCCTCTGGTGAATCCGCAGGACAGGCGCCCTTCCTCCGAAGAAGTTGAGGAGTTCGCAAGAAAGGAAGGAAAAAAAAAAAAAAAAAAAAAAACACCTTCCAGGAAGGGCTCCTTCAAGCAGCACCAGTTCCAGCGCTAAGGACTGCATCAGTTCGGACAAGGTCCTTGGGAAGCTGAAACATTTTTATTTTTACATCTGTCACCTCGGCCCCTTCTGGAGCTGCAGATTTTTCTAGTTCTAAACTCTGGGGCTTGTCCTTAGAAAGCTTTGAAATCTTCCCTGAACGAGTGATTCCCGGGCAATTTCTCAAACGTGACTCCTAGCCCCTCGCTCGAAGGCGACAGAGGCTTGGCGAAGGCAGGGAAGGGAGGGCCTCTCGGGAGGTTAGCAGATCCCAGAACGAGGCTTTCTGTCCATCCATCAGACCCCACCCCCACCCGGGGACAAAATACCTCTTCTCTCTCCCTTCGCTGCCCTCCTGGTGATTGGTGAATCCCCACAAAAATAAAGCGTTCCGGGTAATCGGTTTTCATAGCACATCCATTCTATTAAAGAAGACTGTTTGGAGCTACCTAATTGCTGGCGGATCCCACTGAGCCGCACATTTTTAAAAAATGCATGCGGGGTTCCTGGGCAGAGGCCACAAAATGCACTGGAAAAGGGGGTGGGATTGAGACGACAACGAACGCAGTAGCGAAGGTTAGCTGGAGGAAGATACTCAGGTTGTAACAGCTGCCTTTAAAATTTAATCCCTCTACAAGCTGATTTTCTGCCCACCGGGAAGAAGCTATCTAGGAACCACATCGCAACCATACCTTAGCCGACCTACACTCCTGTAAAACATGCATTTTGTGCTGCGGGGTAAACGCCACCAATCACTGTAGCGGCGCAGACACTGAACGCAGGACTAGTCTTTAGGATCTCTCTCAACCCGCAAAGACATTTTTTTTTTTTTTTTTCTCGGAAGCATGAGTGCTTTAGGGTTCAGGAGACGAGTGGAGGCCGAGCGAGGGGGAGGGGAGGAGAGTCGAGAGTCAGCGAGGTTGCAAGCAGAGCGCCGGTCTCGGAGTTTTATCTGCCGCGGGCCAGCCCTGCCCTTGCCAGGCATGAATTACGGTCGGTTTTCTCCGCTGCCTAAGACGGTCGCGCCTGGGCAGCAGCGCCTCTGGTTAGCGCTGTGGCGAGATAACAGACATGGGCCGGATTGTCTGCTCGCCCGAACCCACAGGCCGGGAAATCCGCAAAGGCCGGACAAAAAATGAGCTCGGAGGTTGCGGCTCTCATAGATCCCAAACGCATGCCTTTCCTTCTTCGGGACTAAGTCACACTCTCGGGAACAGGTTTTTTATTTTGTTTCTCCTACTCCCTTCTCGGATTCGGGGGTACACTTTTGCTTTGCAGCCCAGCAGGGGTTCTGCGCTAGTTCAACCAGACATTGAGTCCGGTGCCCTGTGCTCTGCAGAAGTACTCTTCTAGCCTTGTAATGTTTGCAAACCCGCCAGTCCTTGTGTGCCGGACCACTGCAGACCCGAACGCACACAGAACCCAAAAAAGATGAGACAGTGGGGTTTGAGACCTACTCTAAAAGCCCAGGGGCCGAATGTAGGGCTCAGGGCTGCGGGGCGCAGGCAGTTTGCTCCCTGGAGGCAGGGGCGCGACTTCAAGGGCCCCTGCGCCGGCTGCAGCCTTTGATCCGGCCGCCGCTGGCGCCTAAAAACAACATCCTCGTCTGCCTATTAGGCGCGCTGAGGGATCGTGACAGATTGTTTATCCCCGCAATTAGCGATGCAGCCCTTCTCAGGCCGCCCCCCGCCCCAGCCTGAGGCTAGGCCTCTTGGCTCCGACTGCCGCGCACGCCACGAGTTCTGTTGGAGTCCCCGGAATATCCTGGGGCCCCATTCTTGGGGTTCGAGACCCCCTTGACCCTAAAGCAGGACTTCAGACTCAGAGCCGATCTGGAGTACCCGATAGTGTCTACACAACTGCGTGTAAGGTGTGTTAGTCGATGAGCATTTTTCCAGGGAAAAGGTCTTAGCTACACTGGATTTATCCTCTGATCTCTTCCTGGGAGAGAATCATTTTGAGTTGGGGACCGCGGTGGAGCAACTGAAAACCCCTACCTTTTGACGAACACGTCTTGTATTAAAAATGCTGGCCTAAAAGGAGCACTTAGGGGATTTATTTCCGCTTCTGCTTTTAACAGGAGCGCCGAGTGAAAATCGGCTAACTCTGCTGAATGAGTTGATCTAGCAACAGCTTAATTAGTTTGTTCTTCAGCTACAGAAGTTCGCCGTCCCCTCTAGGCTTCGAGGTTCGGCCTACACTCTTGCTCAGCTTTCGTTTGCCAGGCTTTAAAACAGGGTGGCAAGGCGTCTGCTTCTCATGCACACGGAACAAACCTCAGTGGACCCAGTACACCGGGCGTCCAGCTGGGCCTAAGTGAGCTTGAGTCCCAAACCCTGCGCTGTGCCTGCTCAAGCAGTCTCAGATGCCTAAGAAATCCGGAGATTTCACAGAAGCGAGTATTCCCGAACCCGCCCCGAGGCCTTCCTATTTCTCCAGGCCCCGTGGGCAGATGTGAGGCTCCGATCTCGCCGCAGCCCGACCCCTCCCTCCAGACCCCGGACGCCGTCTGGGTAATAAAGTAATTCATTTTCCTTAATCTGGTCGCCCCTAATCTACAGCTTTTTATTGCGCCCAGTTAAAAGGCCAGGGAATTCGCTATCCCTCCGTGCTCGGATAATTACCCCTAAATGGCCACGGCAGCCCCTTGTGTTTCCTGGAGATTAGAGCCCGGCAGTCATCAATGCCCAGTCCCGGTGAGCCGCCAATCACCTCCTCCAACTCCCCCGGAGCCGCGGGCCTGGGCCCTGGGATAAGAGGCCATAAAAGAACCCTCTCCCCTCCGAACCCAATTTACATAGATCTTCTGTGCCGCCCCCCCCCCCCCCAATAACTTTCCTCCCTTTTTTTTTTTTTATCAGCAAAAATAAAACCACGTTTCCTTCGAAATTCGGCAAACAAAAGTTTCTAAGCCTCGCACCAAAGTTACGCTTCCAGGAACTGCTTTCTTTCTCCCGCCCCTTCTTCAAATGGGCCTCTACCCTCCAACACAGCCCCAGCGTTAGCAAACTGATAGGTTTTTGAGGACTCATTGCTGGAGGTCACGTTGAGGCCAGATCGGTGATTTGTTTTGTTGTTGTTGTTGTTTCCAATTCTCCACCCAAAGGATCCAGGGGCTCCTTTGGCCAGCAGTTCTCTGGTAGAGGTGTAACTTTCTGGAGAAAAGTCAGGGGAGAGGGTACATGTTTGTATGAAAACTAAACGCATTTCCCAGATCATGTTACATGCTCTTGCACCCACAGAACCAACAAGGCCCAGGCTTCCTTTGACAAACTTTGTTCAGCCGTTAGAAACAAAGGCTCACTATTACCCCGAGGTAAAACTTTTTAAGATTGAAATACACAGGACACGTAGGATGTTTTTTTTAAAGAAATAAATTAATACGATCCCTTTCTACTGTTAGAAATAACTATGACCATTCAAAACAAATATAAAATAATTTGTAAGGGGACTGGAGTAAAATCTTCGTGGTAGAAAGAGGGAGATGCAGAGGGAAGGGGGGCCAGAAAGAAATAGCAACAGACCGTGAGAGAAATGGTAGAGGAAAGAAAACAGGAGGGAAAAGGAAGAAACGGGTAAGGAACAGTGGGGGACGACTAGGGCAAAAGAGAAGTGATAATAAAGGAAAGTCCCTCTGCAACTCGGTAGGATCCACCTCTAAAGGGACCCAGTCGGACAGATGCCCACCGGGCGAAGTCGGGCGGAAAGGCTCCCCCGGTACTCTCCTGCCCGGAGCGCCCCCAGGCCCGGCGCGCCTCGGGACAGGAGCGCGGCCCAATGGTTCTCTCCGGGCCCGCCCCCTCGCTCGCTGATTGGTTGCTGCCGCGCTGGCCTTGCCTTATTAACAAGTTCTCAGGGGAGCGGCGGCGGACCCGGAGCCGGCGAGTGCGCCCGGGAAGTCGGCCTGCGCGGCGTAGGGATCCAGGCCCAGCTCGCCGGAGCTGGCCTTTGGGGGAGCCGCAGGAGGCTCGCGCGAGAGGGCCGGCCGGGCCAGGGCCCCGGGAGCTCGCAGAATCCGGCCGCGCTCCCAGCCCGCCCGAAACCCATGCTCCAGGGCTGGCCCGAGCTGCGGCTGGAGTGGGGGTCCGGCTCTGCATGGCCCCGGCTGCTGCTATGACTTCTTTGCCGCTCGGTGTCAAAGTGGAGGACTCCGCCTTCGGCAAGCCTGCAGGGGGAGGCGCTGGCCAAGCCCCCAGCGCTGCTGCGGCCACGGCGACCGCCATGGGCACAGATGAGGAGGGGGCCAAGCCCAAAGTGCCGGCTTCGCTCCTGCCCTTCAGCGTGGAGGCCCTCATGGCTGATCACAGGAAGCCCGGGGCCAAGGAGAGTGTCCTGGTGGCCTCCGAGGGGCCTCAGGCAGCGGGTGGCTCGTTGCAGCACTTGGGCACCCGGCCCGGGTCGCTGGGCGCCCCGGACGCGCCCTCCTCGCCGCGGCCTCTGGGCCATTTCTCAGTCGGGGGACTCCTCAAGCTGCCAGAAGATGCTCTGGTGAAGGCCGAGAGCCCCGAGAAGCCAGACCGGACCCCGTGGATGCAGAGTCCCCGCTTCTCCCCGCCCCCAGCCAGTAAGTAGGCAGCCCAGGATGGAGAGCGAAGGGGCCAGGAGGGGGTGTGGGGCCCGAGGGCGCCAGGCCGCGCGCCGGCGCCGGCTTGTCTCGGGCGTCGGCGTACCTGCATCTGGGTACCTGGAGGCCGTGCAGAGGTTGCGTTGGCGGGGAGGAGGCCCTTGGAGCCTCTTCCCACTCTCACCCAGGAAGAGAGTTAGAGGCCTGGAGCGGGCAAACCTCTTAGTCCGTTTTCGCGGGCTCCTGGCCCTGGCGTAGTGCCGCTGAGCGTGTCAGCTCATTTGTAGCGCGCGGGTGTCCGTACACCCTCTTATTCTTCCGGTACTTAGGACGCCGAGGGTTCCCTGCTCCTCCACCTGACCCTAAACCCAGTTATTTTGCACCCGACTTAGATGGGCCCAGCGGCCAGTACATCCTCTCTCTGCGGAGTTTCACTTTCTGGTAGTCGAATTCGGTAAATCCCCTCTCTCCCGTAAAGAACCTCTCCAGGGGTTCCGAAGCTCTGCAGAAGTCCTCCCCCCACTCATCCTGTTCTAAGCAGTTAGTTGGTGTTCTGGGCGGGTGGATGATTTAGCAAGAGGGGACAATCGTGGACAAGTGGAGGGGGGCGGGGCAACAAGACAGCCAAAAGGAGCTCCCCCTTAATCGCTTTGCTAGTTCCCGAATGCGTTGGACCTGGCTTTCAAAGCCGACCCAGCAGCCAGTGGCGTGTTCCGCGATAGTCCTAAATCCTCGTGGCCCTCAAGGCGTCTTTCCCCAGCGAACCCGCTCGAAGATATTTCAGGAGCACGGGAAATTCCCAAGTTTTCCTCGTTTCCTCCGATTATTTCGCACTATAATAGCATTGCAAATTCAATGGCATGATGCTGAGGAACGATTTTTATCTGGGGATTAAACGTCTTTGAAAAGACAGCCCCTCCCCGGGCCTGATGGTTGGCGAAGGTGGCCCAGAGCTGGACTATTGCTGTTAACCAAAGTGACATTTCCCTATGAACCCTCCCTTCTTTCGAGTGGCCTGGCGGAAAACGAGTCTGGGGCCAGCTTCTTTCCGGACACGCTGTAGCCTGAGCTGGGGAAGAAGGGGGATGTTAACTGGAAATTTCGTTTGACTCACATCCTAGTGGTCTGAGGGCCCAAAGGGTTATTATTATTGTTTTTTTTTTTTAAGTGCCAAGAAGTGCATAGTTAGGCAAAACCCGCATGGTGAGATGTCCTCAATTTCAATTCGCTTTCTTAAAGGAAAAGCTGCAGCAGAGGCAAAGCATCCTCCTGGAGACTTAGGAATTTGGTTTAGAACTTCAGCTTCTAGGACCCCAAGTCAAGGCACTCACTAAGTGGTGTGTGTGTGTGTGTGTGTGTGTGTGTGTGTGTGTGTGTGTGGTGTTGGGGGAGGGGGTTTGTTGAGGCTTGTTTTATCCTGCAACAGTGATGTCCCGCATAGCAGGGGTGATGGAGAATTGAAACCCAGTCCCCTAACTGGGCCTGCCCTCCACACAGTGGCAGCGCTCTGCTGAGATTTAACCTTTCCTGGGAAAACTTAAAAGAAAAGACAAGTGGGCATCACCCGTCTCTTGAAACTGAGCTATGTTGGAAAAGCTATCATAAACCCCCCCCCCCCACACACACACACACACTATGCTTGGTGTGGTCCTTGAACCCAGGCACCACATTAGGAGAGACTGTAGGGAAAACCCGAGAGGATCTGAAAGGACAGCATGTCTAGATAAACAGCCTCGTATATATTCTAGAATTGTCACGGTGTGACCTCTTGGATGGCTCTCTTCTTTTGATTGGCCCTAGAGCCCCGTGGAAGCTTGCTGTTTGATAGAAAGCGTGGAATTTCAAGATCCATTCTATGCCGATGGCTAGCACCAATGCAGTACCTTTGGTGGGCACAAATGCAACTGTATGCCTCAAGTATAAGACCCAGTATGACCCTGGGCTGCGCTTAGGGCCCCTGAATGTTTTATGGCCCCCTTAGCATTCATCTTCTCTCTGTGCAGTAGCCCAGAAGAGGCCCCGGGTGGGGAAGGCCTGACTTTAAGATAGGTTGGCACTGTCTGTGCCCCACTGTGGTTCAGCATTGAACATGGTTAGATTTCACCTGGAATCTTAGTAAGGCAAGAACTTCCGCCCTACGGGGCTTGGGTTACATACAGACGGAGAAAATATTTTTCAAATGCTCCATAGGGTCCAACATAGAGGTGCTTGGGAGAAATCAGAATCTGGACCGGTTTCTGTCACTTAGTAGTACACTCTTAACTCCTTGCCTTTTTTCCTCTCCCGGCCCCCTAGGAAGACTGAGTCCCCCGGCCTGCACCCTACGCAAGCACAAGACCAACCGCAAGCCGAGGACGCCCTTCACCACCGCGCAGCTGCTGGCTCTGGAGCGCAAGTTCCGCCAGAAGCAGTATCTGTCCATCGCAGAGCGCGCCGAGTTCTCCAGCTCGCTCAGCCTCACCGAAACGCAGGTGAAGATCTGGTTCCAGAACCGCCGCGCCAAGGCCAAGAGACTGCAGGAGGCCGAGCTGGAGAAGCTGAAGATGGCCGCGAAGCCCATGCTGCCGCCCGCCGCCTTCGGCCTCTCCTTCCCCCTCGGCGGCCCTGCCGCCGTAGCCGCGGCCGCCGGCGCCTCGCTCTACAGTGCCTCTGGTCCCTTCCAGCGCGCTGCGCTGCCCGTGGCGCCCGTGGGACTCTACACGGCCCACGTAGGTTACAGCATGTACCACCTGACATAGGTGGGTCCTGAATCGCCTCTCTGTGGTGCCACTACCCCGCCCCCAGCCACCTCTTCTAGTAGCCGGAGTCCTTCCTAGGAAGCTCCGCTGCCCAACACCGCCTGCCCCTTCTCTTAAAACCCCCTGCTGCAATTCCTCCGGGTCCTTCCTACTGTTCTCCAAGTCTCATCCCATCTGGGGGTGGGGGGAAAGTGGCTTTCGGAAGGGTTTGGATTCTTCGAGAGAGAATCTCGATTTACACCCGCGAGTTATAGATGTGGAAATTAAGGGCAAAGAGGCCAAGAGATTTATCCGTGGTCCCCGGCAGAATTAGAGACGGGCTTGAAGGAGACTAGAGGCCAAAGGGACTAGAGGCCATGACTCCATCAGCTGCTTCCGGTCCTGGAACCAGGCAGGACTTGCGCAGAGAAATTGCTGTTTGGTGCTTCGGGAACGTACACGGTCCTGTAGAAAGCAAGGAGCCCAGCTCCTTCCACAGTCAAACTCCAAGAGCTTTAGCCGCAAAGCATTGCTCTGAGGGGGCAGGGCGCGTGCTGGTGCTTTACGAAGGTAGGTTGAAGAGAATTTCCCAGGACCAGGCTAAAAAAAAGTAAGAAAAACAAAACCTGTTTCTATTTAACAGTACATTTTCGCGGCTCTCGAACATCCCTTTTGAAGGGATCGTGTGTACTATGTAATATATTGTATATTTGAAATTTTATTATCATTTATATTATAGCTATATTTGTTAAATAAATTAATTTTAAGCTACAAGATATGATGTCTGTGGATTTAGTTGTGTGTTTTACTGGTCCTTCTTTCTCTTCCCATTTACAATTGCTTTCCAGTTTGGTGGCGGTTTTACATAAGCAACTTTCAAAGGCGCCAGGAAGATGTTCAGGAATCATTTTGCGGGGTGGGGGGGCACACAGGAGAGATTTGCATTAACACAGTCAAATGGAGAATTGGAGCAATTACCTAGGATAATTAGGCTCAATTTTCCAATTCACTTTAAGCTGAAATCGACACTTGCTCTTTTCCACCTATAACCGACTCTCTTTTTCCCTCCTCTCCTTTTAAACTGTCTATGAGAACAAAGTGAATTGGCCCAAACGGTTTGATATCTGTCAACAGCTAATCCAGACAATTCCTGCCCCCCTCAAACCTGTTTTTCCTACTGAAGGGGGTGGGGTGGGGGTCTCTAAACAGCCACCAGGCAGACACACTCTGTGGAGTTTCATTTCGAGCTGCCTAAAGAGCTTTGTACAGCTACCCCAGCCTCTGTTACAACACACAAATATCCAGGGATACTGAAGAGTACAGAAAACCCAAGGCTGCTGGGTACCTGGGCCCTGCTCTCCTGCCCTCTTAAACGGGTTTTTTTTTCCTTTATGTAGTCAAGTTCTGGCTTCCAAGAAAAATATATTTGAAATATATAAGTGCAAGTTTAATTTTCTGAGGGAAATTCTGCAAGGATGAGAAAGACAGAAAATTACCCCTTAATAAATGGAGCCTATTATTGCCCCCCACCTCTTTCTCTAGTGTAGTGACCACCCCTTAAGTCTCACCAAATTTACGTGGTCCGGGCCACCAGCCTCCCTCTGGTGGGAGCTTGAGTATCCAAACTCCATGCAGGAGAGTCCTGGGCAACCTGAGTCCAGGGATGTCAGGAGGGGGAACCCAGAACCCTAGTACCTGGGGTTGGGCTTGAGGGAGATGTGGACGCCTCCATGATTGAAACCCTGCTTCTGGCTCAGGGTGGCCAGGGAATTCCATGAGACTAAGATTGGGGGGCGGGGTAGTTGGAAGGATTCTGCACTGACCCCAAGATACTCCAGAGGGACCTTGGCCTTGGGTCCTCCAGCCTGCTGTTGGTGGACTTAAGATTCTATGTTTCTGGCTGTTTGCCACACCCTCTTCCCTAAAAGAAGGACAAGTTTAAGGAGCTTTGTCATGGAAGGACTTTGGAGAGTGACTTTGAGTCTCTGGGCCTCTGGAAGCCAAATCCAGGACCTGGGTCATGATGGAACAATTACACCTACAAGGTTGGCTTCCCACACCACATGCCCTTTAGAGGCACTTGGAAGCTAAGGTGTCCCTCTGCGTCTGGCTGCCAGTCACTTAGATTAAGCAGTTTAGAGACAGTTTAGGACAGTTCAGTATACCCAGTGAATCCGAAACGTCCTGACTCCCATGTTGAATCTCCTAGGTTCCTTCCTAGAAAGCCAGTGGAGATGGTTAGGTAGACAGTGGTACTGAGTCTGTCCCGGGTGGGTAGAGGTGGCTGCGGGTTGGATCCTGCCTCAGTGCCTGGGTGCCCTTTTCGTAGGCAAGGTCATGCCATCTTGCTGTACCTCGGCTTTCTCGCCCGGGGAAGGGGTCCTGGTATCCTCATCATCCTAGCTTCTAGAATTTGGGTAAGTGCTAACCCGCTTGGCACTCAGGGCGCAGAGGATTCCCCTGGAGCCTGCGTTTCCAGCTCGCGCAGCGCGCCGCGTTCTTGGCGCAGAAAGTCCTTTCCCCTCACTCAGAACAGAGGAATGGCGGGGCAAGATCCCGTGTCTCCTCCGGCCCAAGCTCCCGGGCCTCCTGGCTCCTCTGAGTTTAGCAATTTAGGGTCGAGGCAAATTTAGAGCAACATAATTGCCGTAATGAGCAACGGTTTGCGTTCTGCAGACGCGCCATGGCTCCAGCGAGGCGGTAGCTGCAGGCGAGGCGGGCGCGCCTCCTCTTCCCCCTCCCGAGTCTCCCTCGGACCCCCGCCCGCAAGCACCGTGCCCTTCAGAAGCAGTCTTGGGCCAGGGTTTCCTTCCACTACTGGGTCCGTTCATTTCTTTTTTTCTATTTTTATTTCTTTGCAGTTAGCCCTTTCTTTGCACACCTCGTTTTCTAATTCTCTTTCTAGACGGCTGGGTACACAGAAAGTGCCCAATAGATGTTTGCAGTCTCTGAGCAGCCCACTGGATTGATGTCCAGTTTTCGAGGCCCCTTTAAATTCAGTGCAGCAGAAATTTGCGGCCGGGAGATGGATACCGCTTCTCACTGTTGGCTCTGGGGCTGAGGTCCTTGTCTATTCAAGCTAGAGTGATGTCTGTAGCGGGTCCTCGGCCCGGTTCTTTAAGGATCAATTTCCCAATCTAGTGGTCTAACGAGTGGTCTCGATCGCGGGAAATGAGGGTCACCACCTAGGGCCCTGAGGTAGAACCTACTCGTTGGACAAGTTGCCGTGTGTGCCGGCGGCTTCACTTCTCCGCTCAAACCTAGATTTCTATAGCCTTGGACGGCTACTGCGGCTCAGAGAGGTGACAGGACACACAGTTAATGAAGAAACGGAAACAGGGATTCGATCTCATTTCATTAGGTACCTACGCATTCCCGAGTACCAGCCCGAGTCTCTATAGCTGAGGGGCACTGAATGCCATGACAGTTCTCGCACGAAATCCGAGTGTCCAGGGCAACCAGCCACGGGTGATCTGGGTCCCAGTTGTGACTGTAACCCCTTTCCCATGACCAAAAGCAAGCACTGTTCCTAGGGTCGTGAGAGGGACGTCTTCCCTGCCCTGCAGGCCGTCTGCACCGGCGTTTTCATTTTGTTGGAAAGATCACGGAAACCCAGCCTGCAAATTCCGTTTCTGAGGACGCCACAGGACTAAAGCTGCCTGCCCAGCGTGGTAGCTGAGGCGGAGATGACGCTGGCCAGGGCAGGGGCCTTGGGGCACCAGAGCTCTGGGCGTGGGTAGCCAGGCTGAGGCGGTCGCGACCCGGGAGACTGGGTGGGGCTCGCGTTCAGAGCGCCTAGTTTCAGGGTACTTGGCTCGGATAGCTGATCCTGGGCGGACTGTCCAGGCCGCGCAGGAGGCCTACAGATCCAGCGTCCCATCGTGGGGCCCCTTAGTGACCCGAGGTCCCTAGGTGAGCCCGGTCGGTCCAGGCCTGCGCCCCGCCAGAGCCATCGGGGGCTCCAAGGGGAGCGGGGAGGAGAGGCAGCGGTCGCCTTTCAACTCTTCGGCTGGCGCCGGCCTGGCCGGGCCCCCGAGGCCGCACGTCCTCCCCGGCTCCGTCCTGTCCTTCTAGCTGCTAGCTCCTCCGCAACAGCCCCCCGTCCCTCAGCCGGGGGCCACCCGGAGCACCTGATCCTCAACTACCACAGCCAAGTGCCCACTCTGCCCCATAGCACCCCAAGCTTGCACCCCAGACTCAGGAGATCCCTTCAGCTCCGCTCAACAGCTCCGGTTCCCCGACACACTTCGGCCCTGCAGGGCCCTGGCCACAAGCCCGCCTGCCTCTGCCACAGCGCCACCCCGCGGCGACAGCCGCCTCTTCGTAATGTCAACTGCCTACAGTCCCCTTGGCCGCTGCACGCGGGCTCTCTACACCACAGGAAGAACCTACAAAGTGCTTGTGTACACAGGACCCACACACATCTACACAACACACCAGCACCCACCTCAGCAAACACACAAAGCCAACACGTGCATCGCAGACGCACAACTCAGACCCACACACACATGCCCAACACATGACCAACTATCACACACCACATTCCCAAAATCAGTAGATGGCACATACACTCCAACAAACACACAACCTTGTGCACAAACCCAACACACAGCCCACTGACACAGACAGACAGCCCCACACAGCCCATAGGCCTACACGTTATACACAAAAGACCCTAGTTCATAGAAGCAAACCTCACACTGTCAAGGCCACCCTCTAACGTCCATAGAGAGCCAGAGGCTTACGATCTGCTGATAGAAACACACTACCTTGGAGAAAAGGGAGAGAGGAGAGAGGCAGATCTAGATGGAGGGGAAGAATTCCTGAGGAATGGTGTCTGGAGAGACCCAGGGAGAGGCACAGCAAAGCCTGGCAGAGAACGGAGAGTGGGTCTTAGTGGGAGATGCGCAAATCACAGCATCCTAGGTCCTGGGCGCAGGCACAAGTGTGAACACCAGAGGAATGCAGGAGCGCGTATGTGACTATGCACTGGGGTTTGGGTCCTCATGTACATATGTGTACATAGTCAGTTCTAGGGTGCAGAGCTTTCATGGGGCTGAGGGTGGGGAATGCTGGGGGCTACTCTTCTGAACATCAGGAGCCCTCTTCTTCCCCAGAGCAGAACAGCTGCTCTGTATTTGGCAAAGCCTCTCATGTCTTCCCAAGCAGGGCACCCAAGGGACCTGACTCTGCTCAGGTTTAGACAGAACCCAGGCCCAAGATCTGGAATGTCTGTCCAGCATCCAGCCCCTGTCAGGCAGGCAAAAAGACATGGGTGCTGCTAGGAATGGCCGGAGTACCGCTAGGTACTGCAGTCTGTTGATGTCTGATTGCTGGCGCAGAGCTGGATTGTCTGCCTGAACTTGCTGGCTTTTGACATTTGGAGGCTGTGTGATTTGAGACGAGTTCTTTAACTTCCCTGAGCTTGTCTTTTCCCCATATGCCAAGTGCAAGGTTCTCCTGTTTTCTAGCGATCACAGGAACAACATGAAAAGCTCTGCAATGTGTTTGTCCTCTTCAACAACAAATATCGATCATGGGTTCTTAACAGAGCAGGTAGAATTATGTCCCAACCTTCCAGGAGATCTCAAAGAGCCAGAGTATGCTGACCACTCAGGCCATGGGGCTCAAGTCCAGGCTTGTTGCCATCTGGATGGTGACCTTTATCTAGCAATTTACTATGTCTCATGGAAGCTCTGATTGCACCCTGAATGCCTTTGTGTATGGCCTAGCACATCTTAACAGGTGCAATAAAGAGTTGCCTTCGGGCTTTAGT